AATACATTACAAGTACTGATCTGCATGCATATAGGAAAATGAAAGAAACAGATTTCAGAACGCGTTAGGAGTAAAAGTTGGAAAGCTATAAAGAGTGACCACACGGCTATGTCAACATGCCGACTACAAATGGCAAAAGAGCTAGGCTGTGAACACAAGAGTTCTTTCAGACACGCCCGGCGACCGCAGGATGAAGCCCTGTATTTACCTGGACACAACAGGTTCAGCCCCAATCCGTCGTTATAACAGCTGTCACGTGTGACGTGGTCGTCTTCCGACAAGCGTGGGCTGTCATCTTTCGCCATCCAACACGATCACCAGAATCAGGGATCAGTTCAGCGTTCTTGTCTCGCCGTCCAGGTATTTATGCCTTTGTCGGTCCCTTGCTTGCTTGCCATCAACCTTGCAAGCTGTTGCAGGTCCCAAAGTCCGCTCCATGCATGTCCCAAAACAACATTAAAGGTCTACGTCTAACTGTTCTAATACGTTTATGGCTCTCCTCTGTCTCCATGAGGACTGCGTTTGTCTATCCTTCCATGATGTCCTATAATTAGCGAACTTGATTCGCACGATAATACAACAAACTCCAGAGTTCCCTAAACAACTAGGATTCGGACAGTAAATATTCATACAGGAGATTACGCCATTTATGAGAATCTTAAACATGCGCTGAAACATTAGATGAAAAACAACGAAACCTTTAACCGAAAGAAGCTGGCTTTGATCTTCCATAAACAATTTACTAGACTCACAAACACAAGGAGATGTAAAACTGGTTGGGTTTCCTTTCATGTGGCTAGATGATGCGCTCTACATAAAACATTCTTGATCACAACTGATCTAATTGAAGCACCCAAACATCAAAAGTCGGCATATTAAACGATATAGACATCGCTTTTACTTTACACCCGCCATCTCCTTTGAATCAAAGTTATGGCTCTTCTGTTCGGCCGTGCACACCTGTCTTGTTTATCGAACGATAGCATGCAGTTATCTCAACAGATGTGCTTAAACTCCACTAAACCGTGTCATTTATTGCATTCCTAGACACCTGCTAAATTATAGACGCGGAAATGGCTGCCTGTGAAACCAGCGATTGTAGATGTGACCATGGGAGTACAAACTCCTCCAGCACTAATGGCATCTTTCTTCCAACTGGACGTGGAGACATTCTGCTTGCCACTTACACACACGTCTATTTCACACGGACTAACCTCCTACAAATATTTAGTGTGGTGTTACGTAATGTGTAATGTATCTACCAATATTTGATCACAGGTGTATGGCTTTGCATTGATAGTTAGTCTCAGATATTAATTTTTACACACAGAACTGAACGTAATGTACACCAAGACAGAGATAAAATAACAAGAAAAGGTGAACGAAACGCAGAATAAACAAACAAAGAGGGTACTAAAACAGACAGACAAACAAAGAGGGTACTAAAACAGACAGACAAACTACTTGCAGTTCCAAACTGAAGCCAGAAAAGAGCACTACCCTAGTTATACTATTAAACAGTCTCATGTGGGTGGATGGAACAATAGAGCCACTGCTTCCCCTACACAACAAAGTCGTGAAACTAAGTGGAAGCTTTCTTTGACGTCGGAGTGCATCTGAGCGAGAGGCAAGGAACTAACAGTCTGCATGCAAAATAAGCCAGATCTGTCAAATGAATGTGCAAGCTCTAAAATCCACCCAGAGGTGAGCGAACAACCAGCCGGTGAACAGGAAGAAGAAAAAGATCTGACTAAGAACAAACCCTGATGTAGTAAAGTAAACCATGCTATAGAAGGCACATTCCTCCCCATCCTATGCTACCAGTGCCAGGCATGGTCACTCACAATAAACTGGAAAAGAAATGGAAATACATAGCTATTCAACTTGCGGTCCGCTGGCCGAATGCGGCCAACATAATCCTAGCAAGTGGTCTGCGGATCATTGCCAACTGTACTGTATTAATGATCTTTCGGTGCTGGAACTTCTCGTCCATGACGGTCCTCATTTTCTATATTGATTAGTTGCAATCTGTAGTCTATCTCTATCTCTCAAATAGAACCAACCGTTCTAAACAATGTCAAAACGTTGTGTATGTGACAGTAACTTGGCCCATGCACTGTAACCATTAGGGGGAAAGTATACTTCCCCACTCAACTGCTGACTGTAAAGAGTTGCGAAATCCACCCAAAAAGCAATCAAACACAGAGGTTCCCACTGGTGACTGATGTATGTGGCTCTCTCACAAACACGCATGTAAATGTGTGATAACCTAACTCCAGCTGTAATCAATAACCAGGCTGGAGGGTGGGCTCTGGAACCTCCCGTGTGCTCTACATCTGCCTCTTTGCCTGACCTGTCAGTTTACATCAGCATTTCCCTTTATCTGTCTATCTCCGTGTACCTAGTGTTGAAGTTAAGGTATCGTCAAGCAGAGAAAGGCTGGCTGTGAATCTTCTAAAGACCAGATTCAGCTCACAAGTTTGATGCAACGTCTTTCTGGCTGACTCGTGCAATAAATCACGGAGACCGGAGTTTAGAAAGAGAACTCTTGCGTGTTAGGCTGGAAAAGCAAACACACACAAAAGGGTAGTGAGGGGGGACGGTTCAAAGGTCCTCTTGGTCTAGTTACCATTCCTGGCTGACGATGGACTTCTAATGTACAAAACGTGGACATAGGTTCTGATTTTCCTTTCCCTCCTATGAAGGTAGTCGTCATTCAGATGGAGATTTCCATGTTACAGCAGCTAAAGTCAAGTAAACATTTAAGGACATCAAAGAATACAGACAATTAAAAAAAAAAGCACAGGTGTTCTGATTCTTCTCGAGGATCAAAAGCACACATCAAACAATCAAAAACAACAATAACAAAGAATTGAAGCGGTGAGTTTATTATGTATAAAGGATGAAGGCAGAGAAAACCAGAAAAGAAAGACGAAACTCAATAACTAGGACCCAAGTTAGGTCATGTCACCCTGGAGTCTGGAGATGTGAGCGCAGAGACAACAGTGATACTGACTACAGACGTGAGATAACCCTGGTTGTGTTCGGGAAGCTTAACGACCAAACAAGGACAGACGGCCACCACACCCGGTTTTACGATGGAAACTTCAGAACTAAGATGTTTCTGTACGAGGTGCGCAAAGTGTGTGCGGTCCAATAGTTGTCCGGTCGGGTGTTACAAGATCTACCGGTAAATCAGTCTGTATCTATAACACCCGATACTGGAGACTAAGCATCCAGTCGCGCATCAATGCTCAAGCCTTGTTTAACTGCGCAATAATACTAATAACATGTGTTATTGCTACTGCACAGTTGAAAAGGTTTAAGTCTCTTTGAAAACACCCACCATAAGAAAATTATTGAGAGGATTAGGGTTTTGTTTAATGCTCAAAAGTACACTTATCTGCAAATTAAAAACACTATTTAAAATAATATGAAATTTAAAAAAAAATCCTTAAAAAAAAGTATTTACATGTAGAAGTGGGGCTGCTCCCTATAAACTACTGGTCCCTAAGTTACATAAGCCCCCAGGTTCTTATGCCAATGCTCATAGTACTTCAACTGTCACTGAACACACAATTATTATTACTACACTAAATGGCAAATACATGCAATGATTTAAGTGGCATAATACACATAAATTAATACTTTATTTAACACTGAGTTCTATACACAATTACCCAAAGGTTGTGGGGGGGGGGGCGGGCGGCAAAAGAGCCCTGAGGTTCGGGCGCCTATTCTGAAACTCCTTGCAGTCTTTTTTGTCATGTCCCACACACACGAGAGAACAAGACAGAACGAATTTATGTAGGCTCAAAAACAAATTTCGCCCACATGTGTTTTAAACTGGGGAGAGGGCATGGAAATAACACACACACGAGAGAGAGAGAGAGAGAGAGAGAGAGAGAGAGAGAGAGAGAGAGAGAGAGAGAGAGAGAGAGAGAAGAGAGAGCAGAACAACTTGACATGACAATACGTGTGACCATCCCATTTGTGATGGGAGCCACAATGTGTCTTTCGACTGAACTCTTTAACAAAAAAACAGGGGGGGGGGGGGGAGAGAATGAGAAGTCCTGATCATGCTTAAGTCATTAGTCTCTCCCAAGTTTGAAACTGCGCAGAGCATTAATATAGCCGCGATGGAAATGGCGTCTTTTTGTCATGTCCCACACACACGAGAGAACAAGACAGAACGAATTTATGTAAGCTCACAAATACATTTCGCCCACACATGTATGTTTTACACTGGGGAGAGGGCATGGAAATAACACACACGAGAGAGAGAGAGAGAGAGAGAGAGAGAGAGAGAGAGAGAGAGAGAGGGCAGAACACACTGACAACATGACAAGACGTGTGAATCAGAGCCACAAGTCATGAACACTAAAAAAACACACAGCACAAATGACAGTCTGAGGTTGCCGCGTCCCAATCTGGCTGGTCCGAAGATATAAACGTTTTATTTCAACAAAGGGGTGGGGGATAGCAGGAGTGAGTGGATCAAACGCCTAGCCTCCTTCGGGCAAGACACTTGCCACGTCAAAACTCCTTCTACAGTTTTTTTTTAAAAAAAGGTGCTTATTTATTTAATTAATAACTGCAGGCCGAACAGATTGCTAATCGGCCACACTTTTCTGCATAGAGAAAGCTACCCACAAATAAAAATTTTAAAAAATATATCTATATCCTATAGCGCTTGATTCTAGTTTTCACACAGTGATCATCATTAGTACCTCTACCTTGTAGGCTGTGTTTAGATTCTCTTTGTGTAATCTATACAGAGACTAAAACACAGACCGCAATCATATCCAAGATTGTCCTCGGCGAGTTGACCATGGTTGGTCATTGATTGATCTCCAACGAAAAAACTAACCAATGAGATATATAGAGTGGATGACGTCGGCGACACCCCAACAAAACAAACGAAAGCGCCCGCCAAAAACAACCTGCGCGAACATGCAAAACACACCACGACACACCAGCACAAACGTACAAATACTTACAAAGGAAATAATAGCGGCCAGTAGTAAAATTTTTACTAGAAGATCATCAAACTGTTCCAGTATAAGCTCCCATAATGGTTTCCCTGAAAACAGACAGACAATATTACAATGTTTGGTCATTTCATATCAGAAGTTTATGTTTCGGGATCGTCTAATGACAGTGAAGTAAAAGATCCTATCCAAAACCATCAGGCGTTTTGGGCATGACCTATATTTCAGACCAAATGGTACTAGGTTGTTGATTCTATTAATATCACGCCGGCCATCTTACTTCTCACGACTTATCTTGTACTTATTTAAGACTGGGTATACATGGGAGCCAAGATCATTTTTGACAAAAGTCTGGCTCCGTTGGGTCTTGAACCTACAACCTTTCAATCTGTAGGTGACTGTCTAGCCGCTCCACCACGGTGGCTCTAATGCTAGGGGCTAGAGGCTAGTCACAGTGATAGCAAAAGCCAATGTCTATATCCTTACCCACGCAGGACTGCACGTGACACCGGGCGCTGGTGTGACCGTTATGGGTACCCTAACTGTTGCTTCCTTGGAGGTTGAACCGGGTATCAGGGCTTGCTCTGTTGGTCTGTCATCAGCACTGAAACCTGTTATGGTGATAAATCTGCAGGTCAAGCTGGCCTGTCAGCCAGACAGACAGACTGAGATGTGACCTCAGGGTGTCAAGCGGGGATACAGCAGCCAATACAGAATGCATGGCAGACACAGAGGCCACGCTACCATGGTTGTATGCACATTAACAAATGGTTCTTGTTCCTATATTTGTATCGTTCAACAACCAGCCAGTATCTTGGTCAATATCATGTCAGCAATCTTGACCTCCCTTGGCATGTCCTGGTTTTCCATTGAGGTTGACAACGGACCGATGATTTTAAGGACATCACCAACAGCCCTCGGAACATTTCTATGGGTGCTCTGATCCCCTCCACAAGCGTAAAACGGCTGCTTTCACCCGATCTATGTCGATCAAACAAAAATCGTGTGCCCTTAGTGAAGTGTTCGCGAATGGCTACTGAGTCATGCTTCTTAATGTGATATTCTTTGCGACATAAATCTCATTTGTCATTAATGACATCACTGCTGTCCTGTCATAGAAACAACTGCCTTGTCCGTCAGATATTCTGTACGCTTATTGCCTCAAACACCTGTATCGCTGATGGCAAGCGTGACAGTACCCCATCGGAGCTCGAACGGTTCTGAAATTCAGAAACTGAGGTTAGAAATATATTCTTATTCTCTCTTTCCGCGCTGTTTATTTTATTTTAGTATGCCAAATTAGGACTTGTTAAGAGACAGGAGAATTGATTTAAAGTGATTTCAACGTCTTCTCTTCAGTTGCAAGTAGGTAGGCGCTTTGCTAGGAGGGGGGGGGAGTCCATAACCTTCAACTAGTATCCCCGAAGGGGAAGCTTTAGTTTATGTGCCCCACATAAAACGTCTATTAGCACTGCACGCCACCAAGAGCACTGAAAAGGACTCCTGCAGTGTTCAAGCGATCAAAGGAGACAGACCTAAATACTGTCTCGACAGGCGACGAAGTCGTCTACAGGTGTGCCAATGGGCGACCCAGTCGCCGATCCTTCAGTTGCTGAATCCAGTCAGCCTATAAAGACGAGATTGTACACTGCCACACACTATCTATCCGAATAAAGACGCCACATAGACTTAACCCAGTGAACCATGTGCTGCACGTAATAGCCAGCCAACCACGTGACTACAACACCACTCCTTGTGTAAAAAAGCGTTACAACTCTATCATCTGTGTTCTAATTATAGACCAGCGCTATTGTACTGCGGCCTAGTTATGGATGGACCAGTTGCTTGCCCCAGTAACACGCAAGTCGGTCAAATGCAGAGAGACAGCAACAGTGCCAAAAATATTAATTTCTTCGGTGGAAACGTGTGTATATTGTAGTGGGTCCAATCTACCATCTAGTTCCCACAACACTCATTGCTTTTGCACTTAGAATTAAATCCTGCGAAAAATCTTTAAATTGAATGAAAGTCTCGAGCCACACATGTTGAGTATATTGACGTTCCTGCAACACTGAAGATGGATGGTATCTACCACAACCCGTCTACGCGGGACTGCAAGCTACTTCCGTACCGTTTTCTGGCACCTCAATAAAAACACTGCTACAAACAGAATCTCATCCCAATATGGGACACAATTCTTCGTTATTTTGAGGCCCCACCCTGGCTGTAGTCGTAGTCCCTAATATAACCTAATGGTTGAACGGGGTTTCTGGGACTTGGGCCTGTGTGATCCTCGTCCGAATGGTGGCACTTGTATCACCGGGTGCTGGTGCTGGTTGTTCTGTCCTGTAGGGATTGAATGACATACAACTCTGCTACATGGCTAAACAGGGCTTCAGGCATTTGTAGCCGTTTGATTCTCATCCTTGAGATGCTAATCATACAGAATGCAAATCTGGAGAAGTGGGAACGAAGAAAAGAAAAAAAAAAAAACAGCTTACTGTATCCTGTTTCTTGTGACAATAAAATAAAGAGCATTTCTCATGTCCCTGGCGGACATCGGGCACAGAGTGTCTGACCTGTATCTTTACAGAACAATCGACAGGCTGGGTGATGACGTCAAACCAAACCGCCACCTTTACTTCCCATGACATTACCCAGTACATATTTCATTGTGCAAAGTTATCCTCACAGCTCAATTCCACGGAAAGTCATCACAAGTGTCCACACACCGCCTCAATTCCACAGGACGACAGTCATCACAAGTGTGTCCACACACAGCCTTAATTCCACAGGACGACAGTCATCACAAGTGTCCACACACAGCCTTAATTCCACAGGACGACAGTCATCACAAGTGTCCACACACAGCCTCAATTCCACAGGACGACAGTCATCACAAGTGTTGTTCACACACAGCCTCAATTCCACAGGACGACAGTCATCACAAGTGTCCACACACAGCCTCAATTCCACAGGACGACAGTCATCACAAGTGTCCACACACAGCCTTAATTCCACAGGACGACAGTCATCACAAGTGTCCACACACAGCCTTAATTCCACAGGACGACAGTCATCACAAGTGTCCACACACAGCCTCAATTCCACAGGACGACAGTCATCACAAGTGTCCACACACAGCCTCAATTCCACAGGACGACAGTCATCACAGGTGTCCACACACAGCCTTAATTCCACAGGACGACAGTCATCACAAGTGTCCACACACAGCCTTAATTCCACAGGACGACAGTCATCACAAGTGTCCACACACAGCCTCAATTCCACAGGACGACAGTCATCACAAGTGTCCACACACAGCCTCAATTCCACAGGACGACAGTCATCACAAGTGTCCACACACAGCCTCAATTCCACAGGACGACAGTCATCACAAGTGTCCACACACAGCCTCAATTCCACAGGACGACAGTCATTACAAGTGTTCACACACAGCCTTAATTCCACAGGACGACAGTCATCACAAGTGTCCACACACAGCCTTAATTCCACAGGACGACAGTCATCACAAGTGTCCACACACAGCCTTAATTCCACAGGACGACAGTCATCACAAGTGTCCACACACAGCCTCAATTCCACAGGACGACAGTCATCACAAGTGTCCACACACAGCCTCAATTCCACAGGACGACAGTCATCACAAGTGTCCACACACGCCTTCTATCATGACATACAAGCCAGGCTGCTAAGCTAACATCTCTGACCAAGTCACCCCCAGTCCTGCCTCTATACTGCTCACTGTCCTGGATGTCGCGACCTCTCTGTTCCCCTATACTAGGCATGCTGGGAGTCAGCTGTCCTTCACTGGGCTGAGACAATCACTAGAGAGCCTCCTTTGCTGTTTTTACCTCTATTCTCGCGTGCTGGATGTTATATATGAGGCTCTCATTTCAACAACTTTTATCAGGTTCAGTTTGTTTGTCTGGTAAAATGTTTGTATTGCTTATTGTATACAATTTAGGCAATAGAAGCTTGTTTTATTTTAAAAAGTGAGTTTTTATTCATTTAATTTTGCCTAGGTGTTTTATTACTGATCAGCTGGCACACTCCTTACAACGTGCCAGCTTGCTAAGTCCACACAGTAAACTTCTTACAATTAACAACCTGGCCTTGTTTCCTTCTCATCCACCCTTAATAGGGTGGTTGGCATGTTGTGTTGTGATTTACAGCCAGGTTGCCATACTATCACCTTTTAGCACAAGATACCAGCAAACTCCTAATGAGTTGCTTTATACAACAAAACTTCTAGGGGGCAGTAAGTCTGTACACTTCCCTTCTGTCGTCAATAACAACAAATGTAATAAAGGAATGAATAAATGCTACATACCTTCTTCTGCTGGGAGTTCTGAAAAGAAGAAGAAAACAATGACGTTACAATATTACATAGAAAGAAGCATTATATTTTGATAACATAAGCAACATGTCTAGCAAATAGTAAAGTGCAGTTAGTCTCACAGTAGACACTGCTGTTGTGATGTGAAGCAAGAGGCCTTCACAAATTCTAGATCACAACACCTGAGGTGACTGGTGTTCTTTCTTATTGATTCCCATACCCTCCCCCAAACCTCTCCAGAGACGTACATGGTGAGAAAACATTCCACTTCTGGAGATTGATCCCCCAGACCACTGTTCTTGCAGAAAAGGACACTCCCCATTGTGTCATCAAGGCTCTTACAGACTGAGCTAGCGAATAATGATGTTTCTTTGACATCAACATGATTGCATGACCTGGCAGTACAGCATGGTGAAGCATGACTATGCAGCTTCTGAGGCAAAGATAACACACATACAATCTACACCTCAAGGAACACAATCAGTAAAAGTACCTCTAAGTGGCTGCTGCAATGGATGACTGATCAAACATATGAATGCTTGATGTAAAATACAGACTGTGATAACACAGGAGGTCAATCACATCACACAGATGAATGGATTTGGGTGATATCTGTAACAATGAACTCCTAAGGCACAGAATGCTGAAGAAGAAGCTGACTTAGAACTGATTCTATATTCATCTACATGGAAGCAGCCAACAACTGTTTCCCACATAATCTATGCTGCCCTCTACAGATCCTGAAGCAGCTTCAATACCTGGAATGGCTTATCTAGCAACAGAAAAGTTCATCTGAGCTACACTTGGTACAATCTACTGCACATTACTAGACAGACTGATGAAAGCCAAAGCTAGCAAATCAAGAGGTTTGTAGTCCGATCAGACTAAAGTTTGAGCCAACTCAGATTAAGAAAGCTGAAGCTGAATTGGAGGTGAAGAAGTGATGGTAATTTAATGGTTGGGTGTTTTTATTAGCACCATATATTCTATTATTCAACTAACTATCATTTTTAGGCTATGTTATGAGAAGATGGAAACTGAAACAGTGAAAAGATGTGTGGAAAAAACAATATAAAAAGATTCTTGCTAGAATCTGGTCATGACACAGAGGAGTGTGACAGCAAACAAACGATAAATGTTGGTGGAGATGAAATTTGGTCATGACACAAAGGGGTGTCAGCAAACAAACTGCTACATGTTGCTGGAGATGACATTTGGTCATGGTATAGAGGGGTGTGTCAGCAAACAAACTGATACATGTTGCTGGAGATGACATTTGGTCATGACACAGAGGGGTGTCAGCAAACAAACTGCTACATGTTGCTGGAGATGACATTTGGTCATGACACAGAGTGGTGTCAGCAAACAAACGGCTACATGTTGCTTGAGATGACATTTGGTTATGGCACAGGGTGTGTGTCAGCAAACAAACTGATACATGTTGCTGGAGGTGACATTTGGTCATGGCAAAGAGGGGTGTGTCAGCAAACAAACTGATACATGCTGCTAAGGATGGCACAGAGCAAATATGTCAGCATACAAACTGCTACACGTTGCTGGAGATGACATTTGGTCATGACACAGAGGGGTGTCAGCAAACAAACTGATACATGCTGGTGATAAGGATGGAAAGGCACGAGCCCAAATGTGTCAGCCAAACAAACTTTTGGCAGGTTGTTTTTGTTCAAAAGGTAATGTGAAAATTATAAGTTCCTGGCGCTGGCAGCTGGTGGGTAGGCATTGCAGAACTGCAGATTCTCATCTCAGACTTATGCCCACAACAGTTTAGACTATTCAGCGTTTGTACACATAAACAGTTGTAGTTCCACAGTGCTTATTCACAAACCAACACTGATGACAGCTAGTATTTATATCTGGTGATGATTTCAGGCTTGTTTGGGTGGGTAACTATTTTGTTCATGATCACTGTGTAATTACCCACAAAAACTTCTATAAAGACCCACTGGCTACTGTGGCAGCTGGTGGGTACCGGCTATTGACAGAACTGTGCAGATAGAGTCAAAAATCTCCGGACTTATGACCACAACACTGGTTAGAGACTATTCAGCGTTTGTACACATATAAACACTGTGTTATAATTGTATAATTCCCACTGTGTGCTTATCGGTCTATAATAGACAAAACAACCACTGTGTTTATAATAGTCTCAGTCTATTTAGACCCACCCACTGTGTTATTTAAAAATCACCGGGATAATCACAGGCTGTGCACATACTGGTGTCATCAACGGTTAATAATAGGTATAACAACCACTTCTTCATAGAGATCACTGTGCTTTAACTTACCCACAAATCACTTCTATAACAGACCCACAAACCACTGTGTTATAATAGAGTCAAAAATCACCGGTCTATAATAGACATAACAACCACTGTGTTATAATAGACCCACAAATCACCGGGTCTATAACAGACCCACATATCACTGCAATAGGATCCAAAAATCACTACCCAAACACCAGTCCTAGACAGCCACGTGTAACAACACTGCTAGATACTTTGCCCTTTTTCAGTCTGCCAACAGCTCTGCTATAAATATCATTTCATGTTTTTTTAATGTCACTTGCTGGACTAGTCTTTCATGACATTTTCTACTGTCCTGATCCAGCCTCTATATTATTCTCTCCCATGTGATTTTAAAGTCAAGCTATTAAAAACATCATCATCATTAGATGCCACTACTGCACTAACAGCTATAATGATTGTCCAATACCCTGCCTCTTCCTTCTGCATTCGCATCAGCTTTCTGTGATGCCTTCTCCCCACCGGACAAGTTGTCAAGAGCTGGCATGTCTGGGAAAAAGCATGCTAAATACATGCTATGGCAACCATGGTTCTAAAATCACATGCTCTAACTGTGGAAGACATCTTCAGTCTTGCTAGCCGCATTCACCACTGCTTCCTATGCCTCTGTTTATTATCCGAAAAAGTGCCAACATCAGCCCAATGAGTTAGTGATTTATACCCAACAACATTCTACACTAAGGCCATTCAACTAAATTTACCCAGGGACCAAAATGTTGAAAAAGGGGGATCACTGTGTGCCAGAGGCCTCAGCACAGAAAGATTATTACAACTGACAGGTTATCCACGGGTGGCCAGTTGTACAGCCCTGTCATATATGATCTGACAATCAAGGAGAACTGGCTCATATACAGCATCATGCCCTGAAATCTGGGGTATGCTGGCCACCTTAAACATCATAGTGGCCTGGAGAGAACGGTGATAGAGGCTATAGTTTTTTCAGAAAATGAGGCACAGGCAGACCCTCCACAAATGTGTATACAGGACACTGAAGAAGGTTTAACCACAACAGCACTAGGGCTGGAGAATAGGCTGAGAAAAGAGACTTTCAGGTGTGCTGTGAAGAGAGCAACGTTTTGTAAAGGGTCTACTGACTGATAATATCTTACTCTAACATGCTTCCCCCTTCAGCATATCCTTTAACAAGAAGATAACTTTGTGACAAAACGGTTAGGACTGGAGGATCAAAGTCTTACGCAACGTTTCCCAAATTATTCCTGGCCGCAGTGCCTTTTTTCAATTAACTTTTTCCACGGACGCCCTAACCTAAGTAAAAGTATAACTATTTGTGTTTTTGTTACATTAATTATGAAGCTTTTACAATATTTCGCTGCGCCCCTGTGAGGAGGTCGCGGCTCTCTGGGGCGCACAGTTTGGGAATCACTGGTCTTATGTGTAGCTTGTTTCAGAACAGACACACACAAATTACAAATACATTGCAGACTTTTAAGAACTAACCGGACCCCCAAGAAACGGTTCTTCTTATAAAAATTCCTTTTACCCAGATAAGAGTTCAAGCAAGAAAAATTGCTGAAGATAAACAAACTGTTCTTTTTCACAAGAGAAATTTGTCACATCTGAGATTATCTTAAGACAACGGTTCTCAACCTGTTGGTCGTGACCCTTTCCTAGGGGTTGAGTAAGACCATCAGAAAACAAATATAGATTGAAGTTATAAAGTGGCAACAATAATTATTTCATGATTGTGTATCACCACAACATGAGGAACTGTATTAAAGGGTTGTGGCATTAGCAAGGTTGAGAACCACTATCTAAAGTGGTCTGGACTGTATACCTCATTAAGCCTATCCACAACCTATAACATGCATTGTTTCAAGTGCTGCAATGTTTCCACTGAAGATGAAAGGCGGTTGAAAGAAGTCACCCGTTTCCATTCTTCTCTTCAAAAAAGCCTTTTTCCAGATAGTGACACCAAGTGTTTGTAGGACCACTAGGATATAATCTCTCCCACATTTTCTTCATCTACATCCAACCAGCTCCCTTGTGTGGTTTTTTGCTTCTCTGCCACAACATGGCCAATAAAATGTTGACTTGTCTTTTTTGCTGCCAACAGTATTGTCCCTACTTGTCTGTCAAACATATTTCTGTGGCTGTGAATGCTTTTTTGTTGCTTTGTTTAAATTCAAAGTTAATGCTGACAGGATGAACTTTCTTGTACAAGGTTTTATCCCACATGGCTCGGTCTCTCTCCGCTGAATGGTTAGCCGCACAAAGCATGAACACTATAGCTCTGACAATATAATCCACAGAGGTCTTTGTAAAAACTGGATTTGTGAACCAAACAGTGTGCAGCCGTGAAACGAACCTCGGCCTTCAGGACAAAACAAATGGCATGACCACTTTGCCAAGACTTCAAAGAGATCTCCACATTATTTCAAATGTGCCCTGGACTCATAAACATGTTAAGATACATCTCATGCAGTATGCAAATGTTTAATAGCTGGCACTCAGTAATGACCAAAGTTGTGCCAAGAACTGTACAAGCAATTTTATTTCCTGAGACACTTCCTAGCACTCTTGGAGTTGGTCATGAAAGATGCCAATATTTTTGTTGATCACTGACAGGGATTTAAACATCTGAGCACCAAACCAGCAGCAACAGTGCTAGTCACTGCACCACCACAGCTTCCCATCTACCATAAATGATCTGTATCTTCTTCTCAGTGTTCACTGGCTGTTAACTACTCTGGCAGAAAGTTCTGACTGTTCAGTCACTCCTGGATTGTAGTCTTGTTCTAGAACTTCAGTTGTGTGCACATCCGTTTTCAAGATCAGGCTTATTTCCAAGTAGACTGCTGGTTCCTAACCTATCAGGCAGATGCACACCGACCTCAAAATCCCTAATTCACCTTTTACTGCATGCTTACTAGAAGGCGTCGGCTCTGTGGCTAAGTCGATGCGAAACGCTTCGTAATGCCGGGTTCGATCCCTGGATCCCAGCGGCGGACCACGCGCCTTGCGTTGGTTTTGACAGTGGTATCAAGAAAGCCGACCGTCCAGCAGGAAATGGCAAACTGCAAACTACTGGACGTAAATTTGCCTGGAGAAACCACACAACAGCCAGGGGCTGTTAGGGTTGGTTCTGCAACATCATGTAAAAGATACGCAACTAACCTATTACTAGGAGGAGGCAGTGGGTGACTCTTCCCCCCCCCCCCCCCCTTTCCCGAAACCAAAACGGGAATACCATAAATTATCATAAACTGTCTTACTTAAAGTTTGAATAAACAATGTTACAATGAGCGTAAGTAAGGCAAGTGACAATAGCGATACAGATCACATTATTACGCTTTCCCACTGTCGTGAAACTTCACTTCATCGTTGGTCCCCAGTGACATAAATAATAAATACGTTGGACCTATTTAAGGCACAGCTGGGATATCTGTGCCTTTCGGCCGACTTCTAAAGTTCTTCGGGCATTTGTTATCTGGGTCAGCTTTCGCGATTAGTGAGTCTGCGGGACATGTGTAGCCTCAAGTGTGACGTGTGATGACCAGCCAGGTGTTGTTCCCTGAAGACAGACCAGTCCATCACTAGGTCTAGGCTAAGCCGAGTGCACATCGGTCGACAATGATAACTTCCGTTCACGGATTTAGGATCAAATGAAAGCCTGGTGTCTCTCAGCATTTATAACGTTAAATTTCAAGTGAAGCATTGATTGTTGTCGAATTGGAAAATAAAAGCCTAAAAATTAAAACAAGACGGTTCAAGACCACAACAAGAGAAAGAGCTAACGGTTGGCTGGACCGAGTTGGCAGTTTTACCATAAACCATAGAATGATGATTGTATTTTCCTGATTTTTTTTTTTTAATAAATCGTGATAATAACGAAAAGAAAAGATGTAATAATATAATTATCATGTGTTGATAGCAAAACTGAATTCACTACAGAATTAGTTTGTGCATGACTTGCACAAACTAAACAAAGGAAATATCGACATTTCGCCATTCTTATAATGTCATCCAACACCCAATGGCAGCCATCACTCTTCCATATGAATGACACTGGTGTCTCCAGCGATGAATGTTCTAGATTTAGCAATAGCAACATACCACACTATTCACATTGTTCTAACTTATAACACCTACCGTTTGGTCCATATTTTTCTGTATTTCTTTTAACTTGCTCATCTGATAATCCTATATTTTCGTCTACACCGAAATATTGACAGACTTCCTCTGTCGTTTTGGCCCATGCGTTATCCATTGTGAACTGGTTTGCTGGAAGTGACCACGCTGTTTCGTGTCACCCAAAAAAAAACTGTCAATCCAAATATTTTTGTCCGTCTGGTTAAATCCCCGAAGATGTTCAATTTCCACACACTAAAATCCGAAAATGAAAAATGTGGTCTCGCTTTCCCCCAGTTCACAAATTCCCAGTCTTCCAGCAGAAGAGAAATGAAGACGGCTTCTCAAACCCTGCCTCAGCTATAGTCAACGCTGCCTGATTTCGGGGGTGCCAGCTTCTCTTCTACACATTCACCTTTACAATATCAAATGTTCAGACAATGCTAGTAAAGAAAATATCAAGTCCTTTGATTATTATTAAACATTAACTAAAATTAAACTACGTATCTTATATATTCAAAAGATTTATGTTTGTAAAGATTTTATGTATAAAGCTGTGTTAGCTACTGTAATATGGTACTGTCAGATGACCTCTACGCCATTGCTCGTAACCCCGATGTGGTGGTCGCTGATTGGCTGAGAGCTGGGGCCCCAGTTAAGTAACGTTGCCGTATCGCTTCGCTTCTGACGTCAAAAGCTCGTATCGCTCTCTGGCAGTTCAATGCTCATTTTAAGCATGTTCTTTCTTTCTCCCCTATCTCTCTCTCTACCTTAGCGGCACCTGGTTACCTTGTCCAAAGGTATATGATATTTCAAATATGCAAATTTGAAACGATGGATTCAAGTTCGGCAGCACAGTATAAGAAATATTCTAGATTAAACAGTATGGAAAAGAGTGGGTAGTCCTTCTCTACATGTTGCTTTTAAACTATGTATAATTTACAAGCATGAAATTTTCACTAATGAAATAGAAAAGACTCTATATAAACACGTTGTGAACCGGATGAGTTGAGCAAGATCATCATCATCAAGGTTCACTTCTGCCGTTTAACGTTGTGGGGAGGAACAATTCAGTATCATCATCAGGTGCCTTGCCGACTTTCGTGGGCGATTATGCCTCTCCATAATCCACGACCTCCTGCAGCATGTATCAGTTCGTGTGCCGACACACCTCCATGCCATGCAACAAGACTGTCAAGAATCTTCTCTTCGTTGTCTTCCTCTATCCCTCCTTCCACAGATCTTTCCAGTGGTCACAACATGTTCTGTTTTCCCTCTTCTCATAACATGGCCGAAAAATTATGACTGTCTTCTTCTGATGTCTGTGATAAGTTTTCTTCGGGCTCCGAAGTTCAGTATGATATTGTTATTAACACTACTGCTACGTAGAATGCCCTTTAGAGTGTCAAGACCGTTGTACAAACAAACAAAAGTTTTTCTATATAGCTGTTTGTGATTCCACTCAGAAATTTTTTTTTTTTTTTTTTTTTGCCACTGATTTCTGTATCGTCGACTCTCGAAATCTCCGTTGAAACCAGCGCAAAGCTTTCTGCTGCCAAATCGCCGGCAGCTGGGGTCTAACCCGGCCCCCTGGAATTACGAAACGTGTTCGCAATGCCTAAGCTACAGACGCCGACACTACTTCGAGCTACTACTACTTTAAAGCCTTAAAGACATCAAATTATCTGGGTCTCTCTGAAGCAAGGAAGTAAGTCGCCGTGGTGTAGTGGATTGACGCCCGCCTGCGGATCGGAAGGCCGCGGGTTCGGGTCCTAACAGAGCGGGACTTTTTTCAAAAATGACCTTGCCTGCCAGGTCGACCAAGCCTTTACTGGATACCAGGTGTAGCCTTGGGAAGTAAAGGCGGCCGGCGTGATACTGATCATATCATCCACCAAGTGCTGATCGGTCTATACAAGATAGGTCTAGCCCTATATGTTCTTTGTCTGAAGGCATGGAAAATGCTCCCACTTTCTTGCTTCAGAGAGACCCAGTTACTTTGATGTCTTTAAGGCTTTAAAGTAGGGGGCCGGGTTAGACCCCAGCTGCCGGTGATTTGGCAGCAGAAAGCTTAGTGCAAGACAGCGTGTTTAAGTATTTTGATGCTTCGATAACTGCAGACCTGGATGTATTACAGCATTTACTGTAGATGTCAAATAATCTGAGAAAAAGCGGTAGTTCAAAGAATGGTGAATATCTGACAATTTATCTGTCAACGGAGGTGAGAAAGAAATGTTTAAGAACTGAGTGATGTATGGAAGTGAACCACAAACAATCAGTGCATTAGTCAAAACTGTAAAAGACCCTTCTCCACGCCGCTGGTGTATGGGGTGTAAAGTGCGAGGCATCTTTATCTCCTAGACCAATCGGCACTCGGTTGGCAATGTGGTCAACATCACGCCGGCCGCCTTTACTTTCCCGGACTATATCTGATAAATTTTAGACTGGGTCGATCTCGAAGAAAACAACAATATTTTTAAAAGGTGGGGGGGGTGGGGGGAGGTGGAGGGAACGGCTCGATGTTGATATGAACCCACGACCTTCTGGCCCGCAGGCGATCGTCTGTCTAGTCGCTACAACAAGGTGGCTTCCAGTGAGAAACTATGGAAGCTGCAACACATGTTTCATGTGAGAATTATGAGAACGCCCTCATCATCTTGTAGCAGTTCCTTTGCAGAACGTTATCATCATCTTGTAGTAGGTCCTGTGCAGAACGCTATCATTATATTGTAGCAGGTCCTGTGCAGAACGCTATCATTATATTGTAGTAGGTCCTGTGCAGAACGTTATCATTATATTGTAGCAGGTCCTTTGCAGAACGCTATCATCATCTTGTAGTAGGTCCTGTGCAGAACGCTATCATTATATTGTAGCAGGTCCTTTGCAGAACGTTATCATTATATTGTAGCAGGTCCTTTGCAGAACGCCCTCATCATCTTGTAGCAGGTCCCTTGCAGAACGCTATCATCATCTTGTAGTAGGTCCTGTGCAGAACGCTATCATTATATTGTAGCAGTTCCTTTGCAGAACGTTATCATTATATTGTAGCAGGTCCTTTGCAGAACGCTATCATCATCTTGTAGCAGGTCCTTTGCAGAACGCTATCATCATCTTGTAGTAGGTCCTGTGCAGAACGCCCTCATCATCTTGTAGCAGGTCCTTTGCAAAACGCCCTCGTGATCTTGTAGCAGGTCCTTGCAGAACGCCCTCGTGATCTTGTAGCAGGTCCTTTGCAGAGCGCCCTCATGATCTTGTAGTAGGTCCTGTGCAGAACGCCCTCATCATCTTGTAGTAGGTCCTTTGCAGCACGCTCTCATCACGTTCCTCATTAAAAAAAAAACTCTGCCGCCTGGTTCAGCTCCCTATCCAATGTGTCATTCAGAATAAAACACAGTGGACAGACAAACAAGACACATATAATAACGAAGGCAGCTTGTTTGCATTTACCTATTGAAAAACCATGGAGGAAAGTCCTAGTTATTCGTCCGTTTCTGGACTTTGGATTTGTCCAAGGACCTGAGTTTTGTGTATGCACCCGCTTTATAGATCTTGTCTAATTGTATGCAGACTGCTGGTTCCTAGCCTCTCGGACAGATGCACTCTGACCTCGAAGGAACGAAAACGTCGTAGAACTAGGCTGCGCCGTTCGACCCAACACATCCAATTGGAGCAAATAACTAGTCGTCTCTTACGACATGCTTGTGAAGGGACAAAATGTCTGCTTTCCTTTTCCCTATACCAAAATGCCACATACAAGAAACACCTCTGGCTTCACTAAACCCTCGATAGCTAAAGATGCGTTCCAAGTCTCGCCCGTTTTTCGTTGCTTACATTCTCAGGCAAATTCGAGGTGATTGATTGAGGTCGAAACATGACCTCTAAACGTTTCTGTCTCTTCTCTAGCTCCGTCTAGATGTAATTGTTTGGAGCTTGTTCAGAAACTACTCCTGCAGTGCATGTAACAGAGCTGTACTTTTGGCACTGGCCTGGTAATCTGTCTAACTGGTCTTGCGTGGAAGTAGAATTGTTCAAATCGTCAAGTGCATTTTTCATTTGGAGGCAACTCGTTTGATATGCAGTGTAGTCGGGTTTTTTTTTTTTTGGGTGCTTTATTAATATCCTACCCCAAACAGAGCAAATCCACAGGTCACGGGACAGTTTAATATTTTAGTGGGTAGTAGAAAGGCTGCACGCAGACGTGGGACCTAGACTGCAAGCATTCGTGGGACGTAAGTGGGTTGGGGTTAGAGCCAGTTCTAGATATTTTGGGTCGTTAAAAGCACAAGAAAGCCTGGAAACCCAGTCTTACCCGCCTCTAAAATGTTGGACTGTCCCGTGACGTCTTGTGGAGATAAGATATTTATAAAGAACGATTTTTGTTTGCCTTTAAAATTTTTATATAGTTTGTTTTCCGTGTGGGTTTCGGGGCCCCATTTAAGGGGAAACAAGAGTAGACAAACTGCCCCCCATGACAAGCCTGTCGTAAAAGCTGACTCTTCTTCTTCTGCCTTCTATCTCCCAGTGGAGCATAAGCTTTCAACCAGCTCATGCAAAATCTTTTCATTCTTCGCCATTTCATACATCTCCCCCATGTCCGCCCCAACTTTTTAACTTAACTCGCTATATTTTCCATTTTCTTTTTGTCTGCCTTTGTTTCTATGCCCCTGTGGGTTCCAATGCAAAGACATTCTAGTTATATTGTTCGCAGGTTTTCTCAGCGTGTGTCATATCCAACTTAAACGCCTTTTCTTCAACTCTTGGTCCATTGGAACTTGTTTAGTTCTCCCAAAGCACAGTTTAATGGATATTTAGCTTCAATTCAGGCAAACTCTTTTTGAGGCTCTGTTCATGGGAAATAATTAACCTTTGTCATTGTACCGACACTCTGTACAACTTATTAGGGTATATCTCTTGTGATTTTAATCCTGGAGAATAAAAGTGGACGAATCTATCAAATTGGGAAAGTTCTATCTTGTGGGGAGGTCTAAATTTGCTTGTAAACTCAGATATAAATATAAAACAATGATTCATCTACTGTAATCCTTACGAAACAAAGAACGGTAACTACTCAGATTGTGTTAATTCGTTACGGGCAGAAAGATCGCCCTCACTAGCGGGCTGTGGTAATGCCAGTTTCCA